GGCGCGGGGGGCGGCGGCGGCGGGCGGCGTGGTGGTGGTGACTCCGCCGGGGGGCGGCCGCGCTGCATGGGGGCGGGGGCCGGCCGCCATGGAGGGGGTGCTGTACAAGTGGACCAACTACCTGAGTGGTGAGTTGCTGCCAGTTCTCAGCCTCTGCGCCGGGCGGGCTTCCCGAGCGGGACCGTCATCCTCTTCTATATATATGGCTTTATAGGAGTGTGTGTATATACATTAGCTCAGTCTGGGTCAGCGCTGCCCCCTGACCCCAACCGTGCACCCCATTTTTCCGGCAGCACTGCCACTTTGTCACCGGCTGGTGGATGGAGGAGGCATCGTCTCATCTCGCCGGTTTGTGGGTGCCAGCGCCGGCCCGGGGTGTCCCTTGCCCTCCCCGGGGCTGGGTGTGTGTGTGTGTGTGTGTGTGTTATTTCGGGTGCGTTGGGTCATACCCGCCGGCAGAACTTCCCCCCTCTGTACGCCCCTGTGAAACTTTCAGGGCTTTTTTTTCTGAGTCGTTTCGGGGACAGGGGAATCCCAGACCTGGGAGGAAAAGGTCTGTTTCCTTTGGGTGAAAACACATGCAAACAAAAAAAAAGAGAAAAAGAAATTATTTTTTTTAAAAAAAGGGACTACCCTGCTAGTGCTAGGCCCAGATTTTACTTTTTTGGGTGTTACCATGCCATGGGGTGCTTGACTTTCATAGCAAAGTGTAAGCACCCACGCGTGGCCGGGGTCTCCTCTGCTGAGGTGAAAGGTGGTGGGGTCAGGAATGCTGCAGAGATGGGGGTGCAACCCGTGTCCCATCGGGTGTCCACCACCGGGCACGTGGGAGCCAGGGCTGGGTTGTAATTCGGGATGCGAGGATGGGGTCTTGCCTGGTGCAGACCTCTCTGTGGTTTGGTTGAAAGAGTTTGGAAACCTCGTGGTGGGAGAAAAATAACCTCGACCTTGACATTGCCAGGTGCGAGTTTTGCTCGGCGGTGCGTGTAGGAGGGCTGCCTTCTCGCTGGGGTTTGGTTCAGAGAGGCTGGAACAGCTGCTCCTCTCTGGTTACTTGGGAAAGTGTAGGAAATCAGAATTAAACAAAGAAAAAAGCTGGAGCTCGACCGAGTGATGAATTTCTGTGGCCGGGGGATGGGGGGGAGTGGTGCGTGAGGCTGGATTTATTGCTGTGTACTGGGTGATTGCTGCCGCTTTTCCCCTTTAGGCTATAGGTGTTCTGAGAGGGGAATCAAAAACTGTCAGGTCCCAGTGAATAGGTGTGGATTGATTTATTTATTTGTGAATGCTCTTGAATGTGTGGCGGTAGGAGCAGCTTGGCTTTCCCACTTGGACTGCAGGACTTGGGTGGTGTTATTAATCCTTTCCCCATAATTAAAACGTCCCCAGTTCAGCCAGTGGAAAGTTTTTAAGTGTTTGTTTTCCTTTGCATTGCTTGGATGCTGGGGTGTATGTGGACCCTTCGTGCTTGCCTTCGTGCCATGAGATCTGGGGAGTGGGATCCAGCCCATGTGTAGGTGACTGACTGGCGTTTGGCATTGTAGTGTTTGTGCCCACGTGTGTGTGGGGTAGGATCAGCTAGACTTGTCTTCTGTTTTGACGGCAAGATGAAGACTAAGAATCAGAAATATTCCGGTTCCATCAAGATTGATTACTATTTTTTATGGATAGCCACACTGATGTGCACTTTCAACCAAATTGACCCTTCAGGATGATGCTTTGTGAGCCTCGGTCAAAGTGAACGCAGGATGAAGGAATCTTCTTTCTCCTTGAATGCATAAGATTTGCCCCAGCTGAAAACTTGATGAATTTTTGTTCTCAGCAGAGAAAAGATCTGTGATGGAGGATTGAAGCATCTTTCTGATTTCTTTGCTGAAACTTGACTCTGCTACTAAGTGTGGTGGTCAAGGTCACTCCTTGCCTTTTCTTAGGCTGTCTGGGGTGTGTTTGAGAACAGCAAATTTGCTGTTCTGCAAGCTAACGAGGCTTATGTGTGCTCTCTTTGCACAAGTAAGTCTAAAATGAAGACTTCCTGCCCTGAAGCCATTAAGCTATAAATTTATGCGATGATGCAAAAAAAAGTATCATGCTGGAATGTGGCGTTTATCGTAGGAGGGAGCTGGGGAGCGAGAGACAGGAAAGCCTCCTTTTGGGGATTGAAGGAAGCGAGAGGGTTCAACAGGTCGTCCAGAACAGTATTTCTGGCAGTATTCTGTTTTTCCTTTTGCTCAAGGTTAACTGCTGCGGTGCTGCGTGGTGTAAATGATGTACGCAAAATGTTGGGGAAAATGTGTGTCATCTCTTGTGTGTTTATGTGCCTGTGTTACTAATACAATGCTGATGTAAACATACACAGCCGGTATTTTCCACCCTTTCCTCCTCGTTATGAGGAACACACCTTTGTTTCATGAAGTCAGAGGGGAGATAAGACACTCACCAAAGAATGAAGCTTAAAACTGTAGTAAAGAATGGCTTTCCCCTCTTGCTGTGAGAGAGGAGCTGATGGAGTTCGTCAGTAATCGAGTCTTTTCTTGTTATTTTGGTTTTATAATATCTTCTGTCATCGCCATCATGTGAGATCAAGTCCACATCAACCTGTTTCCCCTCGGCCCTTGGGTAGGGAGCTAGATCTGTGTTGCAAATTACAGAGTTACTGACAGCAAGAACATTTCAGAAGTAGGAAACGAGTCTGGCTTTCTGCAGGCAAAGGTCAGAAAGCAGAGCGTATTTACCAACGACCAAAAGGCAGATTAGCTTGCCTTGCTGCTCAAACAAGTTATCTTGTTTTATAATAAGTGCACTTGTTTGCTTTATATAGATTATGATAAATTAAATTAGTGTTACTTGGTTTCTGCTTGGAGACAGGGTTTTTCCTCTGGTATTAATCCTGTTCTTAGATTTTGGTTCTGATGTGCAGGAATTCCAGTGCTGCTCCTGTAATCTCTGAGTTTAGGGAACTGAGATTTTAGGGTTTTTTCTCTCCCCTAGTGCAATGGCCACAAGATAGTGATTTCTCAATGCGATAGTTTTGTTGAAGTTCAAGGGAAGTGTGGCAACTTTGGGTCAGATACGCACACAGATCTAGACTATGAAAATCCACTTGGCATCTCATGCTTGCAATAAGCGTGTCCTGAGATAGCTCTTGTCTATGCTTCCTCTACTAAGTTGGTTAAAATTTTAAGGGAACAGGGAATCTTGCAAGGAGAATTATTGCCGGCGTATGAAGTGTGATAGCACTTTACCACTTGGGCAAATATATGATGCCTCTGCAAAATTCAAATTATTAATCCTCAAAACCCAGAGCTGGGTGACTTAAATCATGCAGGCATGTAAGTTGGCCTCAGCTGAGGCTACAGTCAAAGAGTGTAACTTGATCTTCAAAAATTCCTAGATTTCATCCTTTGCCAGAACTCTCTATCTAATGCCAGCATTGCTTGGTAGCAGTTGTGGAGGCTAGATATGGGCTTATGGCACGGATAAAGGGCATTCAGTACTGCTTATTGTAGTAAGCAGTAGGGGTGATAAAAGCATCACCCTATATCTTCCCTATAGCTCATGGGTCTGTTGTGCTGCTGCTGCCTGTGGTCCTGGCTGGGCATGAAGCCTTCTGGCGTGGGCCAGCATCAAAGGCTGGTCCTGGCCACGGTGGTGTGGCAGGACTGATCTCAAACTGGGGGATGCTGCTTGCAGGACAGAGAGGAGAGAGCAGGGGAGAACTGCACCTGAAGGCTGCTCTTGGCTGTTTGGTAACTGTCTCCCACAGGACTCTCCAGCTGAAATGGAGCTGCAGTTCACGCTCTTTGTTTAAGCATACCTTCTGATTAATAAAATAAATTCCTTTAGTCTTTGGAGATTGCCTTGTAAAAATAATCTGTGATTTTGATTTCTCACTAGGCTTATAGAACGAGTAAGCTATTGCTTACCTACAGGGAAACAGCGTGGCATTGGGGAATACCTTCCTTCAGCGGTGTGTGCGTAAAAGCTTAGCACTTGGAGTTCATTTTTCTGCTGTAATTCAATTGAGTTCAGATCTCCAGCATAAGGCATGTCTTATCTGGGATCACTGGCCACAGGGAGGATTGCCGCTGACTCTGGGAGAGGTGGTACTCTTGGCTTGGGGATTAAAGGCAGCTTCGTCATAAGAGGGAAAAATGCTGACTGCCTCCTCTGGCTTGCCTAGTATTCTCTGTGCGCTCCGTGAAATGGCTTTGATAGCTTTTCCTTCACAAAGCTAAGCTTTTCCTGGTATTTAAATACGCACGTCCTTAATTGTGCTGGATAACCCTAACCCTAACTAATTCATTTTCCTGGAGGCACAGCACCCTCACGTTTGTGCCGTCACTGGCGATGCTGCATCATACCCCATACCATAATTCACTCTCCCCACCGTCCTGTCTGTAATCATCCACTCTTTTCTTGTGGTGCTCTGAATTCTGCTCAGTTTATCCCAAGGTGCCAAGAGCCAACACCAAGCAGTAAATTTCAGCTTTCACATAAAGTTACTTTTGTCTCTAATGATTCAGAATTGCTTGACAAACTTGCGGGGAGAGCTCAAGAAAATGTGAAAGAGCATTAGTTTTTATAGTTTGGATCTGGATGCACATGACATTGCTTAGAGTGAGCTTTTGTGTTGTGAGCTTAATGTACAAAATCTGACCTTTTGGGATGGGAGGCACGTACACTTCCAGTTGATATCAAGCTCTGGGAATAAGGTCCCCTGTTTCCAGAGGGGAAGGAAATAATTGAAAACTTCACACTTAGATAAACATTTGGTTCTAAGAAGCTTTTGTTTATCGTTTTTCCCCTTCTTTTTAGCTTCTGGGTATAGTCCAAGTTCTGATTGTATGAAATAAGAAGTCTGGCTTTTGTGGAGGTGGACCTACACAGCTGAAGTTTCTGTTGCCTTCAGGGCAATGGTCTGCCCAGTGTAACTGGCCGTAGCTGCTCCCAGAGACCAGGAGTTCGTTTAGATGGATGACCGGGTCTCACCCAGTGCTGGCTACACTTCTCACTCGGGCTGCTTCAGGGGCTGGTTACTTCATTCTTTTGGGACTTTGCATAATTATGTTTGTGTGGTTTGACCTTCCTTCTTGTCTCTCTCTTCCCTTGCCCTCTCTTTTAATTCGCG